GTTTCTCGACGTAATACCTGTGCCAATGAGAGTGAGTGAGTGAGTGAGTGAGAGAGAGAGAGAGAGAGAGAGAGTGAGACGACTACATACCTGCCCGCTGTATAGCGACCGGACGCACAGCATCATCGAAATGAGGGAAAACACAACGACTGTCCAGTTGAGGACCTGTCGGCGCACTCTCTCCTTCTCATCGGCGTTATTGTCCGCAAGATTTCCGTCGCATCGGTGTCTCAGCTGTTCGGCCGTCAACAACACCGGGAGCTGTCCGTCGTGTTCGCTATTATCGTATAGTATCGTCACATTGAGGTCGAAACACTTGGGGGCGTCGTATTTGGCCGCGGAGTTGATATAAACTGTCCTCAACGGGAACACCAGCTCCAGCGCCAGGAGTCGATTGAAATCAATGGTAAAGTTGTTGACATCGAAGTAGTGTTTTGAGGAAAACTCTGTAAACCATCGCTGATCTCCCGGAGGATACTGTTCCCCAATAGTCAACACATCCGTCACTATTTGATTGTCGTATTCGTATTGGTAAGAACTCGGGTGTGTACTACCAGTGCGATAGTGTCGCCGGCGGACTATAACGTCAGACATATTACGGACGTCTGTGTCGATGGCGTACCCAAAAGAGCCGACCGATTGGACAGTTATGTTGGAGTACTGACGGACAGCGTAGTCGATGCTGTCGTAGAAGTCCTGACGGGTGTAGAGAGCGTAGGGACCGGCGGCGGGCGGGTATGCCATCACTTCCCGCACGGGATCCCAATTAGACATAAATATCTCGCGAAATGAGATGATAGAGTTGGACTCCCGGGCCAACTGCCCGGACATGTCGTAGCCGTACGTCAACAGCTGAGCGCTCACTGCAATGATTTTGATCACCTGTACGACCAGTTTGAAGGGTAGGCGCCGTTTGGCCCGCCATTTGTCGATTGGGGACATGAAATAGTAGCGCAACTTTCGCCGGAAGCGATCCTTTTGGTGGGGAGTGAGCTGTGGCTCCAGTTCTTGGGAACCGTTGGCCTCCGAGTCCATCAGCGGCTCTTCGGGTGAGTGTTGGTCCAGAAACGAGACGATCCGAGCGTTTGGCGACTCGTTTACGGGCGACAGTCGGTGCCGATGATGACGGGTGTTGTTGTCGACGATAATGGCGTCCACTCCTCGGGAAGCGTTGTCTGCGGCCGTAATGATGGCTATGTTTTCAGACATTGCGACTAAAGAAGTGGTGATTACTTGTAAAAACTTAACGATAAAAACATTGAATTAAAAGTAATGTGTCATCAGTTTTGCGATTACAATGAATACACAATTAATTCATTGAATGAGTGATTGGTTTGTGGAGAAAAACCAATTGTTTATCAAAACCATTGATAACAACAGTTATAATCACAACAACCAAAAAACATATGACTTGTTATGCAATACCTCTACCATTGAGACTACAGTCGACTCTCGGTATAGAAAAGGCTCGTAATTAACATATAAATTATATTGTTTATACAGTGTTTTAAAACGGTACAATTTTATAAATTATTTAGTTAATCAATAATTTAACTTAATTATTACATAGACCTTTATTACTTTGACAAACAATTAACTGTTAAGTAGTTAAATGTGTAGTGATTTAAAGATTAAATGTTTACGTATTCATAAATAATAAATATATCTAAGGGGGTGTATTTCAATTCCAATAAAGGGGTGTCCCGTAGGTTTGCATTACAAAGGGGGCAAAAGGGGACAATAAAACACAAAAAAACTTATGAATGGATTTATAAACAAAACTTTTATTGTTTTTTATCATTTCATTGAAAGTCACGTGTATTTAAGTGACCACTGAGTGGTTAACCATCGGATTAGTGTCCATCACATGTCCGCACAGATGTCGACTTCGGGATCAGCTAAACGTAGTAAAGAGTTGACGGCTGAAGAGTTGTCGCGAATCGAGCGGAACCGTCAGAAAGCGCTTCTTCTGCGGCAACAAAAACAACAGAAACTGACGGCTCATGAGTTGTACTCATTGGAGGCCAATCACCAGCACAGCGGCACCGGTAGTCAGTCGACGGTCGGCGCCCACGACTCCGGCGGAGGTTTTCTCGTCGACTCCGACGACGAGAGAGACACCACTGACAGCCAATCGGCCAATACTACCGCCGATGACAACGGTGTCAGCGAAGCCGTCAAATGCGAGGAATGCGGACAAGAGTTTCACAAATCGTTTTTGTGGTCAAAGTTTTCGGTGAAGACGTGCGACTCGTGTCGCGACCTGAAGGACAGGCATTCGTTGGTCACCAGAACGGAGGCGAAGAGTGAATACCTGCTGAAGGACTGCGATCTCGACAAACGGTATGTAAACGTTTGGATCACTTGTCTTAAGATGTCATTTAATTGTATAATAATGTGCGCAAAAGGCCACCACCGCTGAGATACTACGCCAAGAAGAACCCCCACGAGTTCGCGAGAGGGGATATGAAGCTATACCTGAGGTCACAGGTGGAGGACCGGGCGCTGGAGGTGTGGGGCTCTGAGGAGGCGTTGGAAGAGGAGAGGGAGCGGCGGGTCGGGAAGGGTCGCAAACGGAAGGAGAAGCAGTACGAGAAACGTCTGAAGAGTCTGCGGATGTCTGTCAGGAGTAGTCTCTACACGAGAGACACTGTCGGACACAACCATGACTTCGACGATGAGGTGTATAATGAAGAGGAGGACAGGTATGAGAAACGGTGTAAGAGTTGCGGACATTTAGATAGTTATGAGAAAATGTAAACAAATTTTTTGTAATTAATTTGAAGTTTAGATTTATTTAATTATATTTTGTATGTATTTTTAAATTGATTTTAAATTATATTTCATTTGTATGTTTGTGAATAGCATTCGTTATAATGAATGCTATTTTTCATATGTACTGTAAATACTGTATTTCTAATTGTATAAGTTATATTATACTACTGTATTAATTTATAGAATTAATTGTCTAATAAATTTATTGTTTAATGAATTTAATATACAATAAAATATTAATTGTTATTTCAATTAGTGATACCAAGTTTATACAATATGTTATTAGTGTGTGTTAAATCTGGTTCTTGGAATAAATGACCAGTATAGAAATATTGAAAACATTTTTAATCATTTTGAATATGAATTAATTAATTGATATAATCAAGTTTAATCATACCAATCAAGTAGTAACTCCATAAAAGTGATCTAATTGTTTTGACAGTAAGCTGTGGACGGGTAGTTCGAGTTTGAGGGCTAAGGCTGGGTTCCACTATACTATAGAATTCCTGTTTAAATGACCCTTTTTGTTGAACTTATCAAATAAACTTTGTTTAATTTTACATGAAAAATGTAGTTGTACAAAATATATTTATAATGTTTTGAATTCTATTCGATCCAAAATGACCACAATTATTGTAAGTAATATGTAATCATTCAATAAATGCTTGCCATACCATGTAAACAGGGGCAGGGAATGTAAGTGGTCAACTTTTTGATATGATATAATAATATTGATAAGTATTTTAACCTACGATAGACAACCTGGGTAATTAATTCGCATGCATCTGGTGAATGATCATTAAGTTTTTGTTGAAACTATTGTAAACTAAATTAACAATATTGTTGATAATAGTTTGCCCACTATTTGTGGCCACTATTATCACCTTTGTATTCTTCGTATCCACTGATGGAACTGAAGTGAAGAACAATAAGAATAACAACCATTTGAATGAAGATCACAAACCATACGACCAAACCGATGGCAATGGTTTGGTATATAGATTGGGATCCGCTGTGGGAGTCGTCCACAAACTAATCAGAGGTATTGTTGTAGGAGTGGGACGACTATTCAGGGGGATGGCAGTCATGGCTGTAGTCAATCCGATTCGGGGTTAAGTTATGCCTAAATGTCACATAAATTCTGTACAAAATTTGTTTTATTACTGATATTATCAGTACATAATTATATTAAGTTATTAACATAACTTTATTTGACTTTTAGTTACTTTTTTTCATTTGATAAATACCGTATAATATATTTACCGTATATTGTTTTATTCATTTATTTGTGTGATTTATGAACATTTGTTTAATTTTAATGACTTTTGTGTAGGGAATTGAAGTAATGATTAATTGATGAAATAAATCATTTATTTAAAGTTTGTTTTCAAGTATCACAATCTATTTTGTAGCTCAATATTGTAATCATTACAGTGTAATTTACGTAATAAATCATAATTTTTAATAGCTTTAATAATATTTATATAAAAGTACTGTACCTCTACTGTAAAAATAAAATCGATATTACTTATTTAACTTGTGAATTAACTTATACCAGTATTCTTATTTATTTATACAATTAGGTTCAATATCTCATTAAAAACTCAATTTCCATTTATTGTCAACTTTATTGCTTTTGAAATGAGTTTTTCAAATAATCAATATAAGTTTAACAATAACAAGTAAAAGTAAGTAACAATAAAAATTATTATAGCATAATTATCAAGTTCTTATTATAAGAATTATAAAGCTTGTATGATTTATATTTTGTTTTAATAATTTTTATTAATACTGTATATACAATAATTTTATAAGATTAATAAAAACTTTATTGAAAACAATAAGTCTATTTTTAATCTTATATTTAGTAAATCGCGAATCAAATCACAATTTTTCCTTTAGACACAAGTATTTAATAAACAAATTGTGTGTAAATTTAGGGGAAGTTTACTGTAAAGAGATTTATTGATAAGCTTTTCAAATAGTTTTATCTTTTATTTCCTATCAATTAAATAATTAATGAATATTTTCCTCGTTTTCACCGCAAAACAAACGCCTTTTAAATGCCATAAAATAATTGAAATAAAATTCAGACACAATTATAATGTATTTTATTGAGAGATTCAAACCATTAATACAATTTGCATCGCAATTCAGTGATTAAACACTTTAAACACTTAATAATATTCATATCAATCATGAAAAACATATAAAATAATAAAAATATAGAAAAAAAATTGTATTCAAATAAATCATTCAATGATTACAAAAATATACGAAAATTATCGCCAAACTAATCAATACAACAGTCATTTGGACACAAATGGCAATCAAAATCAATTGACTGCCAATTAATTCGTTAATCAATTAATCATAAAACCATTTAATTATTTGGTTATATATTTGGAAAAAACATTAGATTTAAAAACACTTTCAATTTATATTTGAACTGTAAATCCAATTGTGATTAAAACGGTAAACACTTATAGACTCGACTCTCGACTCGAGAGAGAGAGAGAGAGAGAGAGAGAGAGAGAGAGAGTAAAACATGAAGACATGGATGTCCAGCACCTGTAATACGGAAAAAGAGCACTCAATTAGCGGAGGGCTGGGCGTCGAGGAGGGCCTCAATGTCGGCGATCATCTTATTAGGGCTGGTGTTGGGGGCAAACCGCTTGACGGGCACGCCATCCCTGTTGACCAGGAATTTAGTGAAATTCCACTTCACGAACGAACCCATAAAGCCAGACAACTGTCCCTTGAGCCACTTCCACAAGGGGTGGGCGTTGTCACCATTGACATCAATCTTGGCGTAGAAGTCATACTTCACTCCCTGTTTCTTCGCGAACTCCTTGATGTCCACATCACAGGCCGACTCCTGATTGAGGAACTGATTGCAGGGAAAGGCGGCGATTCGGAGACCCCGGGCCTCGTACTTGTCGTACAGTTCGTTCAGCTCTTTGTAATTGGTTTTAGTGAATCCGCAATTTGAGGCCACGTTTACGATAATCACCGCAAATCCGCGGTATTTGTCCAGCGATTGCTCGTTGCCGTCGATGTCTTTGGCGCTGAACTCGTAGATCGTCTGACAGATAGTGTGCCAAACCATTAGTTATAAGGATTACCGGATATTAGACACAAACAGATACCTTGTGTTCATCAGTGGTTCCGTTTGTGGCCATTGTTTTGATCTGCGATTACTTCGGGATAACTCTTGAGATGGGATTCACAGTCAATGATGCGGTCGATATAACTGCCAAACGAGTGAATCGCTTGAATCGGGTCTTTGGTGGATGTGTTTGCGGTGACAATACAGCAGACAATGGGACAAACTTATGGTAAAAAGTTTTTTGCGGTTTTTTGACTGAAATTCAATGAATTATTAATTATTTTGTCATTTGATTAACAAATCATTAATTTTTACGTGTTTTGTCTAACGTTAACGCCAACTGTGGGGAACTGTTCATAAATAGCGTTACGACTCCCCCCGTATACAACACTCGCCCCTCACTATACTGTACTCATATAACCCCTTATGAATGTTCATAATAACACCCATTCCTCGCATTGTAACGTACATTATGAATGTAAGCGAAGTATAGTCACGTGACTAATAGTTTATGTTTTGCAGCGAAAGTCACTTCACTATTGAATCGCAAATCAGTTGTCTTTTGGTTAACCATTCATTTAATTATCACCTGAAAGACAGATCCCGAGGAAGCAATGGCCACACTATTAACCCGATGGTCACCATCTGTTCTCAAGCCATGGATGACCAGTAGGACTGCCGCAGTCATCAGCAGCGGTCAGGTATCCGATTAACTGATCCACAAATTGGTGTCATTTAATGATAATTTTGTTGATAATTAGACGCAAGTGATGGCAAATAGCAGCTCAAGACGTGATACGGAGTCCGTTATCACCGCACGATCGATGCACACGAGTCCAAGACATGAGACACACGCCAAATACGGCGGAAGGTATGGCTGACCACTAATGCTAGTGAATGATAATCACCACAAACTGATCCGTTTATTGTGATTTTATCGCCAGATTTATGGTCACATCACTGCCCGGCGATGGCATCGGACCTGAAATGATAAAAAACGTTAAAAAAGTCTTCAAGTAATTGACACTTTCATTAATGATCACAGAATTATCACTGAACATAACCACAAATACATATCTAATGATACGATTGCAGAGCTGGTGGTATACCCGTAGACTTCGAGGAAGTGAGTCTGGATTCACACCACGAAGACCACGAGAATATGTTCGAAGCGATCACTTCCATCAAACGCAACGGTGCGGCCCTTAAGGGCAATATCGAGACCCGCGAGCACTCGAAGCACTTCCTGAGCCGTAATGTTGAGCTCCGACTGCGGCTCAACCTCTACGCCAATGTCATTCATTGCCAGTCGATGCCTGGCGTCCACACCCGGCATAAGGACATCGATATCTATCTGATCCGACAGAACACGGAGGGGGAGTACAGCTGTTTAGAGCACGAGTCGGTCGACGGTGTGGTGGAGTCGCTGAAGATCGTGACGCGACAGGCGTCCACACCCGGCATAAGGACATCGATATCTATCTGATCCGACAGAACACGGAGGGGGAGTACAGCTGTTTAGAGCACGAGTCGGTCGACGGTGTGGTGGAGTCGCTGAAGATCGTGACGCGACAGCGCACGGAACAGATCGCGAGGTATGCCTTCGAGTTCGCCAAACGCAACGGTAGGAAGAAGTTGACGTGCGTTCACAAGTGAGTTTCCGAGGGTTGGCCGGTGTGGACAGGCGTGTCATTTGTATGTGTTTTCAGGGCTAATATCATGAAACTGGCCGACGGATTGTTTCTGAAGATATGTACGGATATGGCGAAGGAATACCCGGAGATTAAGTACAATAACATGATTATCGATAACTGTTCGATGCAGGTATGGGTGCTCGCGAATACCGTTCCCTCCTTTTCTGATCTCTGTATCTATTTTTACTGAAAACCTCAATCAGTTGGTCTCAAACCCGAACCAATTTGACGTACTATTGCTGCCCAACCTCTACGGCAATATACTTACAAACATAATGTGTGGACTGGTAGGCGGGCCGGGCGTGACTTCCGGTGGTAATTACGGCGATAATTATGCTGTATTTGAAACGGTATTTGGATTTTTGTTGAGTTAATAATTAAAGTGATTTTTTCTATAAAATGTTTTTAACCCCAAAAGGGAACCCGAAATACGGGTAAATCAGTTGCGGGCAAAAACATAGCCAATCCGTTGGCGATGTTTAACGCGAGCGCCGACCTACTGGAGTACCTCGGGTTGGACTCGTACGCCGTCATCCTAAGGGAGTCGATATATAAGTGCATAAATGAGGCTAAAGTCCATACGCCAGACCTCGGGGGTCAGGCGTCGACCAGCGATATCGTCGACTACCTGTCGAATGAAGTGAGGAATAGGACGCGGTTAGTCAGTCACTAAGACATACCGGTGCTCTCGTGCGGTCACAGATCTGAGCGTTTAATTAGTATTGAATTTAATGCAATTTTAGGCACAAGTTATTTGACATTTAATTTATTTATTGTTTTAAATGAATTTATTGATCGGTTATCCAAATGAAAGTCAATTTGCTTTATGTTTGTCTGTATTGTGAGTTAATTATTAAACAAATTTTAATCAATTTTAAACTCAATTTAAAGTAAAAAATAAAAAGTTAGACAAAAATATATGTGAATAAGACGTTTGACTGAAACAATTTGTGTGATAATTAAACTGATGGACACCGCAGATGGTGGTGGTGTCCACCGGTACGAGTGGACACTGAAACCGGATTTACGATAAAATATAAACAAATTTTTAGACAAAAAACCGATTAATTGTAATAAAAAACTCATTCAAAATCATATGATAATCAAGAGTTGATGGACACCGTAGATGGCGGTGATGTGTGTCCATCGGATGGCCTACTTTTTGCCGGACTTCTTGATGCCGCCGCCGACGAGTGGACCCTTTTGTCCGGCTTTGGCGGCCATTTCCTTGAGCTTCTTCTGCTCCTCCTGTTGTTTTTTCTTGAACTCCACGTCCGACTCATCCATCTCTCCCTTTTCCTTCTTCGGGGCCTTCAATGGCTTCTTCTTACCGCCTATTCGTTGATAATCACAGACATAACACTGGATTAGCTCTCATATCATATGCTATGTGTTTGCCACTCATTTGTCGCGTATGGCTTACCCTCTCGTGAAGACATTATGCGTTGACTGTCCGGTGATAGAGATGTACTCTTCGGATGGAGTGGTTGTGCGAGTGGTGTCTGACACGTGTGGACACAAACCTCACGAGTGAATCAAATGTGATATCAAGGAGTCGTTGAAACGCTTTATTCACGCAATGAATGGTAAACACATAAACGAGTCGCTCGTATATAACGTAACGCATACTCAGAGGGGAGCAGTCATTGAGTGGACAAAAAGTTTTAAAAAAATAATTTTTGTGTTTTAATTTGTATTAATTTACAATTTGTTTAATAATTAACTGTATTTATGTGTTAATACTATTATTTGAGATCATCCTTAAGATGTGACATATTATATGTGAGACTAATTATGGCTAAAACCGAGACAACTGTTTGCAAAGCAATCATCAAAATGAGTGAATAGTTTTCAATCTTATGGTAAACTGTTTTCCCGATTTGGTGTCGACTGAAGAGTATAGGCGTTGACATAACCCCACAAAAGAGTGCAAACGTGTGGAACAGACAGAACACCACTACCCCTATGAGACCCTCCACCACATCGATGATACTGAACACACCCACCACTAGTATCAATAGCTTCAGAACTCTTTGAATTACAAAAAACAAGTTTCAAAAGTTTTAAAGTTTACCTCAAATTGGTGTTTATCACTAAAAGTCTTACTCTATGATTAGATCCGTAATGATTGTGAACAGGTCTGAGTCGGAAGTCGTATCCGAGTTATCATTGTCCGAGTCATACAACGGGTCGACCATCGGTGGCCAGTATTTGTCGTACAAAAAGGATATTAATTTACAGATTGTGTACAGAATTAGAAACGATTGCAAGACAACAGACATCGATAACAGAAAGAGTAGGCCGTCTCTGATGGACGGGTTCACCCATCGCTCCTTGTATTTCTCGCCCGGAATGGACATACCGTTCCCCTCGATGTTAACGGTTTGTGTCATTATTTTAACGATAATTTGTTTGAAAAACTAAATCCAATTCAAATCGCGAGACAATTACACAAAAGGATAAAAAGTGAATTTATATAAAAATCTTATCGCAAATACAGCTTATTATCAAAAAAAGGCAAAAACGTTGTGTTTTATTGAATATAATAATCAATTAAACCATAAATTAAGACAAATATGTTGAGACAAACAGTGGTTATACTGTACTAAACGGGTTGATAATCGAGTTTTGTCTCCAACTTCTTATTATCGCTGATCTTTCGCACGGCTTTCATGAAGTCCTCTTCGATCACGTAATCCCTTTCCGCTCGGATGGCGAACAGTCCCGCTTCGGTGCACACATTCCTCAGGTCGGCGCCATTGAAGCCGTCGCTCAGCTTCACGACCGCCTCCCAGTCCACCTCTCCGTGTTTGGCGATGGGCTGGGCGTGTATTTTGAGCACCTCTAGTCTACCTTGCTCATTGGGCAGTGGGATCTCAATCTTACGGTCCAATCTGCCCGGCCGTAGGAGCGCCGGGTCCAGTGTGTCGGGTCTGTTGGTCGCCATAATCATCTTAACCTACCGTTCCATTACAGATAGTGTCAATACTTTCCTAACGCCTACCCCTCAGATGACATACCTGTCCCAACGAGTCGAAGCCGTCCATCTGATTGAGGAGTTCCATAAGAGTCCTCTGTATCTCCCGGTCAGCACTCGTACCCTCTGAGAACCGGCGCCCACCGATCGCATCGATTTCATCCATGAATATAACGCACGGCTGATGATCGCGCGCGTAGTTAAACATCTCGCGAATGAGCCTGGCACTCTCACCAATGTACTTGTCCACTATGGCACTCGACACCACTTTCAGAAAGTTTGCCTCCAGTTGTGAGGCCACCGCTCGGGCCAGTAGTGTCTTACCCGTACCTATAGGTCAGACAAACCACTCATTATTATTCAAATTCATTACTAAATTGTAATCAAAACACAAGTGTTTTCACGCATTCACACGAGTAGTCTCTCTCTCTCTCTCCCTCTCTGTCTCTCTCCCTCTCTGTCTGTCTGTCTGTCTGTCTCTCTGTCTCTCTCTCTCTCTCTCTCTCTCTCTCTCTCTCCCTAAACACAAAACATTATGAACTGCAGTACCGGGCGGTCCGTATAGTAGGCATCCCTTGGGCGGCGTAATGCCCACTCTCTGGAAGAGTTCGGGGTTGAGTAGCGGCAACTCAATCACCTCCCGGAGCTCACGGATCTGCTCTCCCAGACCTCCGATGGACGAGTAGTTGACATCTCCGGGGTCTTCGTGGGACATGTTGTAGACCAGAGGGTCCACCTCTCGGGGCAGGTATCGCATGATCGTGAGGGTAGTCATGTCGAGTGCCACCCGAGTGCCGGCTTTGAGTTTGCTTTTGTCGAGTTGGCGCCTACACCCGACCACATACCGGGGCCCATTGGTCGCCTTCACGATGAAGTTGTCGTCCGTCAGCTGTTTCAGGACTTCCCCCACGATCTGACCGACCGATTGCAGGGCTTTCAAGTCGTTCTCACTCTTCTCGTACTGTTTGTTCACTTCTTTGAGCGATTCCCGCACTGATTCAGTGGATAATAGAGTGGTTAATGAAGTGGTCTATGACTGGGGACTGGGAGGTGATAGTGACAGCAATTGGCGGTCAATGGGGTATACCATACCGTCTTTGAGTCTGCTCTCGATGTCCCGGTGCTCCACCAACTTCTTGCGGTAGTCCTGCAGAGCCTTCTCCCGTATGGGATCAGCTGTGTTGGCGATGACTGTCATTGTCTTCAGCGATGGTTAACCACTATATCGACGATAATTCACAGCAAGTGTTGTGTGTATTAAGTGCTGAATCACTGGTTGTGTGTGTTGTTTGCAAAATAGGCATATAGTATGAGATAATATTCATATATAAAGGAACATAAAGTCTGTGAAGTATTGGCTGAATATTTAGTACTTTTTAGTATAAAATATTTTATAGCACTTCATTCTCTTTTGCGTAAAGCGATTGTACTATAAATAGCACTGAATGTCCGATAGGTGTCACTCATAGCTATGTTTACCATTTAATACTTGAAAACTTTATTAGAATTTATTTTTATAATTAAAATCAAAGTTAACTAGATCAATCACATTATATTGTATTATAATGCTTTTAACTAGGGTCAAAATTGAAATGAATATGTGCTTGTTTAGTGTTTGTCATTATATATACCTATAATAACGGGTTTCTCACTATAAATACAGACTTGAAAACATATGATTTAACCATGTTACGAAATACTGTATGTTCCAAAAGCTACCTGTGCTGTAGATAATCATAAAAATGACTGGTTTATTGTAAAGTGCAAGGGTCACGCTATGTAGGGCACCGGTACCCAACCACTAGCCCTCTAATGGCACTCTTATATAACATGTCTTATCAGTTGATAACTATATTAAACTCGACTTTCACTGCGAGTTAAATGGCATTCAATGCAACAAAATATATCAAATTCATTGAATTTCAAGTCAAGTCAAAGTGAAGCAAATAATAATCACTTAAATCAAGTGATAATCGCCGCAAGTGTTGAGACAATTGTCGCAAAGAATGCCGGAATCGGAAAACTTTTCGTTTGACCGCAAGTTCTTGAAGCGGTTCCTAAGGATACTGACCGTAATCCTGAGGGGAAAGTCATCTATGATTATACTATACCTGCTATTCGTGACCATACTATACGAAACTGCGGCCTATAATATAGGTATGTGTTGGGGACAGGGATTAGGGGCACTAGACACAATATTTATATGAACTCATTGCTAGGTATGCTAACCGGCACCTACTATAAGGCGTTGGGGGAAAGGGATTTGACGGAGTTCTGGCAGCAGACCATCAAAGCGCTGGTTCTGATTGCAGTGATAGCTCTGCTGAAGAGTATCCGGGATTACATCGCGTCGTCGGTGTACTTGGAGTGGCGCCGACAGCTCACCGATCGGCTACTGTCCCGCTATATGCAGGGGTTGGCCTACTATGAGCTGAACGTATTGTCGGCGGACAGGCGTCGCGACAATTTGGACCAACGGCTCACTCAAGACGTGGACGTGTTTTGCCGTAAATTGTCTACAATTATAGCGGATCTCATTGTGTGGCCATTCCTGTTAGCCTTCTATACATACCGTTCCGTCGAAGTGGTCGGATATATAGGACCAGTGGGTTGTTTAGTGTTCTTCCTGGTGAGCACCGGCATCAACAAGTGGTTGATATCACTAGTGCTTCATCAGGTGTACCATCAACAGCGGGCTGAAGGCTACTACCGGTTCCAACACATGCGGGTGCGCACCAATGCCGAGGCAATAGCTCTGCAGAGGGCCGGTAGCTTTGAATTGCACCGAACTTTTGGTCTATTTGGACGACTATTGGCAATACAGGAACGCCTTATTTTGAGGGAATTGTCGCTCAACGTGTCAGTGAATTGGTTTGACTACTTGGGAAGTATTGTGGCCTTTATTATACTATACTTCCCGGTGTTTGGGGGCAAATGGGACTACATGTCAGGCCCGCAGTTGTCTCAACTCGTATCCCAGTCCACGTTTGTCACCATATATTTGATTAACGTGTTCACCCGGCTTATAGACACCGCCACCACATTCACAGACATTGGCGGCACTGCCCATAGAATTGGCGAAGTGCTCGAGTGGTTAGCTGCCAGCACCGGTATGTAGTCATTGCAACAATCTCTCTCTCTCTCTCTGGTTTTATAAATTATGACCCATTCTGTTGGTTCAGGAGGTGTCAGTGGACAGGGAGTGCATGTGAGACACTCAGAGGACAATGAGTTATCAGACGTGTATAATATGGACGATAGGGAGGAATCCCGGCCCGCATTACGACTCAAACAGTACTTTAAGTTCACGAATGTGTCGATACGAGTGCCTCATAGCGAGCGGTGCTTAATAAGAGGCCTGTCATTTGCGGTGGACAGGGAGGACAGGCTATTGATTGCGGGTGAGAGCGGCTCAGCAAAGACGTCAATCGTACGGGTGCTGAGAGGGTTGTGGAGAGAGTCGGAGGGTCGAGTGGACAGGTATTTGCCATTTGATGAGCCAAAAGTGGTGTTGTTTTTACCGCAAAAGCCGCTGCTGTTGACTACCGGTTCCCTACTTGAGGTCAGTATTTAAAATTACAGATAATCCATACCCGGGTATTAAATCCCCACTCATTCCCACACATTCAGCAAATATCATACCCACTGCGCACCCACACAGACCCTGAGCACGGGGTGGACGACCAGACACGTGACCTAATCACGCATTACATGAATTATCTCGACTTAAACCCTGTATTGGAAAGGGTTGGCCATCGGGTAGACAGGGATATGGGCCCCGACTGGAACTGGACGGACTGCCTGTCGCCCGGAGAACAGCAGAGGCTTTGTTTTGTCAGACTTTTCTTTCACCACCCGGTGCTGGCAGTGCTCGACGAGTCTACCAGTGCTGTCAGTATGGGAATGGAGCGTAAGATTTACGAGGAGTTACAGCGTCTGGAGATCGGGTATGTCTCGTGCGGTCATCGCCAGAGTCTCTATGAGTATCACAATAGGGTGTTGAGGGTCAGGGAGGCCACGAGTCCACTCAATTCAGCCGATAATGAGTACAGTATTGAAGATATAAAATAGTGTTGAGATGTATATTGAATGCCAAAGAATATTAGGTTTTGTAGTGAATATTGTTTAAAGATTTATTTTTCTAGATTTTGCTTTTTAGACACAATTTTGTGTTATTTAATGAATTTATGGTATAATTACTCACTCACTGATTGTAACGAATGCAATAAATATGGTTTATTCTCAATTTATTAAAGGTTATTATAGGAATTTATTGTCCAGGATAAAATAAATTATATTACAATAAGATTTTGGATACTTATTTTTCTATGTTGTGTTACCTAAATACACTAAAATATTGCAAATCTACTGTACCGTATTATTAATTAACAAAACATTTAAGTATTAATAATTTAGTATTTATTATGAACTCATATGTTAATAAGTATTAATAGAAACTTTTGTTATCAAATAACTTAGCAATTGATTAGTAAATAATTTTCAATTATTTTATAGTTTATAACTTATAATTAGAGCTTATATTAAGTGTAATAATTTATTTTTGATACTAGAGTACAATAATTGTAAAACATAAAATGTTGATTAATAAATTATTAAAATTAAAGTATTTATATATTTGAAACAATTAAATTATTGACTACATTACGAGCCACGACGACCCACTGGTGTAGAAAAACGCCAGTTCCCCGAACGCCTAAACTTTGCCCTTCGATTCTGGAACCAAATCCTGACCGATGGGACTGTTGTCCGCAATTTGTGGGCCAACTCACGAATGGTATCCAAATCGGGATAATGTGTGCACTCATTGAACATATCGTCCAGAATAGCCGTCTGTTTGCCATCAAAATTATGCCTTAACTGCCGGCGCTTACGTCCCTTCCCTTTTCCTACCAAGACTACCGGCGCTTTATTAGACACTACACACGAGCTGTTAATTTCATTTATCGGGCGCTGATCGGCGGCACCGGTAGTGCACTCACTGGCGGTTAGGCTTTGATTGATTATCGTCGGATCTATAGGTGCTGTTGTGTAGGCCTTCATTTGGACCGGAAATTGGCGGCAATTACTTGTATTGTGAGTCACTGGCGATTGTGTACACATCACAGGGTTGGCAGAATGTGAGCTGTAGCTACCGGTGCCACATTCAACACCATTGTCAGCGTTGACATCACCACCATTACAACCATCATCATAATCATCACCGCAAACTTGATCCCACATTAATATTATACCGATTCTGTCAGTATTTGTCACAATATTCAAGTATTAGTTCTGTATTAAAACTATCAAAGAAATCAAATTCATTAACAGAATATTCATATACTCGTGATTATAGTTAACAGTATGCTTTTTCAGTTTTATCATAAATTTCTATGCCTTACTTATTTAAAACACTTAACACAATATCACAATATTGTATATTAATAATATTATTATAGTACCATGATTATTTATTAGTATTATATCTTTAAGAACTGAAAAAGCATATAGTGTTCATAAAATATAGTGTTTGACTTTTTGTGTAACTATTGAAACCAAGTATTCGTTTACAAATAAGCTTAGTTTGCAAATAGATGTGTTAAACATTCTCTCTCTCTCTCTCTCTCTCTCTCTCTCTCTCTCCACACGAATAACGAAATTAAAATGAAATCGAAAGCACAGGGAGTATTCAATAGTTTAGCTGTGGTCCCCTTCGCACGCATACTATCCTCTGAAGTGTCTTTCCTCTGATCATACGAAACGAAAATAATTAGTGTCTCTTATTTGGTATTTACTGTAATTCTTGTGTGACTTTCATGAGTTTCACAGAAATAAAATCAAGATTTTCTTGTGACTTATGTTTACCGGTTGAGCGACAGAAGCTGTGATAACTGTATGACAAAGCGTACAGTCCTTTAAGATAACAGTCCATACATTGCGTAACATTTCTTATAACACTCCCTACTTATTGATAGATGTATTCACAATATTCTTGTATATCAACCGTAAAGTCACTAAAAATAGTTTATTAATTGAATATATTTTGTGCTTAAGATTTATCAGAGAGAGAGAGAGAGAGAGAGAGAACTCGTCGATTGTCTAATATGTAACCTAACAGTAGGTCTATAAGTGTGTTACAAACCATTGACGCAAAACAAAGTCTTTTTAGCTGTGAATATGTGTTTCCATTCCTCACACCAAAGCTCCCGATGCGATGTGTTTGCGCCCAAAGGGAACGACACTTAGGAATAGACGGAGAGAGAGAGAGATGTGAATGAAGTGAATGTAAGGCACGAAAGAGCGCCTGAAATGCAAACTTATAATTGGATTTGAAGGCAGAGGCCAACGGAGCGGAACTGTATGAATGGGCCCTACAGTACAGCACTGGTAGCTCACGATATTCGCTGGACTACTGGTGTGCAAAAGTCGACACATTCAGTACTGACACGTCTAAACTCGACTACACGTCCCGTTACACCAATTTATTCCGTGTCTGAGATGTAGGCTCTCTCTCTCTCTCTCTCTCTCTCTCTCTCTCTCTCTAACGTGTTGTTCACAACTCTATTATAACAATACATTTGCATCTATTTTGGCGTTCATTCAGTCATTCATTTGCTGATCAAATATAACCCAATTTTTTATTATTTAATTTGATTTTTATTATGAAATAAATCTAATCCTCATTTCATCTCATGTTTTGGCTTTGATTTCATCGGTTAACAGAATTTTCGACATACTTTTCACTCACTTTTCATAAATCTGTGAATATTTATATAGCATTTGAAATACAAACCAAATATTTATTGGAAAATATTTCTCAAATTATTTTTGATTTTGTTATTTAAATATATTGTTTGTCTCAAAAATATATTAAAGGTTCAGGTATAATTAATATTTATTCACTTCATTGATATATGTATGAGATTTAATCAAATATATTTTTTATCTATTATTCTTGACTACACTTATTGCCAAATAAACTCTATATACACTAACTTTATATATTGCATAACACTATAGGACCAAATATATGGCATTTTAAAGCACTGTTACCTAATCTATAAAAATCTTAAACCACTGTACGGTATAATATAGGCCTTAAATGTGAGCAATAGCTGCAATTCTGGTGTATATAAAGAATATCATAAAAATTATTTGAAAAATGCATTTTTTATTAAATGAAAAATATATGTAATAAACGATTTATACAATTATTTATTATATTATTAATAATAAGTTAATAATATTAAACAACAAATTAAAAAATAATTCACATGTCATAAGAAAATCAATTAATATCTCAATAATAATAACTCAATTCATTATACAATACACTAATCCGTTATAGTATTTGTCAGTCAATTGCCATTAAATGCATTAACGGTTTTCCACAAGAAATTAATAATTAAAAAAACAAAAAAAATCATTTTTCATACACATTCATTTGCTGATCAAATATAACCCAATTTTTTATTATTTAATTTGATTTTTATTATGAAATAAATCTAATCCTCATTTCATCTCATGTTTTGGCTTTGATTTCATCGGTTAACAGAATTTTCGATATATTAATACTTTTCACTCACTTTTCATAAATCTGTGAATATTTATATAGCATTTGAAATACAAACCAAATATTTATTGGAAAATATTTCTCAAATTATTTTTGATTTTGTTATTTAAATAAATTGTTTTTCACAAATTGTTGTTCAGTTATAATTAATATTTATTCACTTCATTTATATATGTATGAGATTTAATCAAATATATATTTTTTATCTATTATTCTTGAGTACACTTATTGCCAAATAAACTCTATATACACTAACTTTATATATTGCATAACACTATAGGACCAAATATATAGCATTTTAAAGCACTGTTACCTAATCTATAAAAATCTTAAACCACTGTACGGTATAATATAGGCCTTAAATGTGAGCAATAGCTGCAATTCTGGTGTATATAAAGAATATCATAAAAATTATTTGAA